CAAAAACCAGGGAGGAGATGAACCTGTCTACTCCTATTAAAAGTCACATTGAAACTATGGATGTTTGTTGCAATCTGGTTTTCATGAAATAATTGACTTTATGCATTTTTAGGTTGTCTTTTATTTTATTCTGATAAAAAGGACTTGTTTTTATTACTATCTTTGCTAAGTTCTGTGGATAAAACTTCCTGATTATTTTTGCATAGCATTAGAAATCTAAAAAGTTGATATTTCATTTATATGTGAGGCTTTATTAAATTTCAACTTATATAGACTCAATTACATTAAACTCCTGTGAGGCATTGTTATCTCATTGTTCAACAAACCATTTATTTATCCATGAAAAAATTATTAAGCACTCCCTTCTTTTTTAAGCTCTTGTCATTTTCCCACCCAACCCTGTGTTGGGCAACAAGGTGACAAGAGAAATAATCCACAACATTTTCTAATCCTACCTCAGCACTAATTCAGGTTTCTGTTCTTTGTTTCTTTGAACTTTTTTGGGTTAGAGATGAAACAAAAAATTTTATAGAATAACTTTTTTGTCAACTTTCATTAAAAATATTTTAATGCTTTTTCATTTAAATATTTTCTTTGGATATTTTAGCATGCAAAATGTGTAATTCAAAAACTGAAACAAATGAATTTGCAAATATACACAGAGGGTGTGCCTCTGTAGAGGAGAAAATAACCAATAGAAATAACAGGAGCCAATTGCAAAAATATGGGTTTTTAATAGAACTAAATATTTTTTGACAACTTGATTTCTTTTTTTATATATTTTTAAATGGTATATGATAACAAATGCCAATTGAGTTAATGAGATTTAATTGGCATTTGCTTGTACATTCCATAGACAACAGTAAAAAGAATCAAATTTCAGGCATATATACACACAGAAGAAGAGAGACCAAGATAAATGTCACTGAATCCAAAAATAATGTAAAAATATCTGTACTTATATTTTGTTTTAAACTGATTATATTTATCCTTTTCAATATTAGTTATAAACAAAACATTCATTAGTTAATGAATATTTTATGACAATCTTTAACTACATATTTTTAAGAGAGCACTTTTTCAAACATTTTCTACTTATATAGGTATATTCTTATATTTCTGGTTAACCTTTCTGCCATACCTTTCCATTAAAAGTTTTGATTTTAATGAATGTCCTAACCTTAAAGTAATAAAATAAACTTTCCAGTTTCCATTCACAATTCAATGAATTTTGTTCCATTATTTAAAACTTTCCCTTCTTTTTATGTGATTTCTTAAAAAACAAAACTTTTCCTTCTTTTTGGAAGTAAAATTCTGAAGGGCTTTTATTATGTGAATATTTTTTAATCTGAGTAAAATATGGCATGGAATAAAAGACTTAAAATTAAACTGATCCCATGCAATCCTCTACTTATAACCTTACCCACTGCCACTCACTCTTAAATCCTTAATTGCAGTCCTCTTGGTAATGACTTATCCCAATAGCATATTTACCCCTGGGTAATGACTGACCTTCCTTGGGCAGTGTAATCAACTTTGTTCTGGGATTACAGTCCCACACTTATCAATATTAATGCTATAAGAGACAATGGAAAAATAACATAGGACTTTAGACAGTCGAAATGTCTGCTTCAATTTTCCTTCTACCTTTCTTTTGCTCTTTCACAATTATTTCTCTGTTCATTTTTACCCAAAATTCATTGCTTAGGTGTTTCATATGCAATAAAAGTTTCAAAGTTTCTTTATTAAATGGAGTAGATATAAATAAAAGACGTTTTGTATTAAACCATTTTTTAATTTAAAAAAAAGAATTCAAATAAGTTTCAAAAAATATGTGTTAGATATTAAATATGATGTTCTCTCTTTTTAGATAAAGTAAAATAATAATTTTAAAATATCAAAATAAAATTTTTATCTTGAAAATTTAGAATAAAAATTTAGGTAGAAGGATTTTCTTTATTATATGAATTTGTTTTTTATTAATATCAGAAAATATTAAAATATTATTCAATTGACTTCTTACTACTTCCTACCTGCCATTCATTTTATTTGTATTGTTGAAACTTTTAGGCAAAGTTTTTTGAAACTATATGCTATAATAAACATTAGACCTGGACCAATCCTTCTTGGATATTCTGCAAATAAAATTTACTCTTTGTCTCTTGAAATAATCAAAATATTTTCAGAATGAAAATGACTTACCCTTAAAAAGTTGCGTCTTCAACTAAGCTTACCATTTAAACTGTTTAGACAGGAATATCCTGGTTTTAGAGGGTCTATCTCACTGGCAATATAAGCTATCAGTCCCCATTCTTTTATCCATCTTGAATCTTAGTTGTCAGGTAAAACACTTTATTATACAAAAACCTAAATCTAAACATAATAAAAGCTGAAAACTGTTCAAGTTTAAGGCTTGGAAACTATAGTAAGCTTAAGTTCAACTGATATTTGCTCTTGCCTAAAAAAAAAGTGGCATGGCACTATTCAGAAGCAGAAGCAGCAGCAGCCTGTAAAACTCTCTATATATGACTGTCTTTAAAATACTCACAATGCATTGCATTACATCCCAATTTCAGCTTTTGTTCATTAAATAAATTTCCCTCATAATTTTTACAATCTAAAATGCATTTTACATAAAAGCATCTGAGACATTTTATAACAAAAATTAATCCACAATGTAATTTTAAGCAAATTAAGTCATGTTCATTTTTGTCAAAATAACTTTAAGAATTATAAATTTGTTCAGATGAATTAAAAAAATGCATGTTTCATTTTTTTAACTTTAATATCCTCCAAATTTTCTATTTACCACCAAAAATGGTTTTCCTTGTCATAAAAATGCAAAAAGTTGATACATGAAAAGAAAAATTAATTCAAAACAAAAATAAAGCAGTTCATTTAATTATGAAGTAAAAGCTAAAATTTATAAAAAATATTTCAATATTTATTTTATTACACTATCAGAATACATTGAATATAAAACAAATGTGAAAATATTAATAAATTCTATATTCCCTTATTAGTTAAACAAATAATGTATATTCTTTGCAACTATCACCATCTTTTTTATTTAACTAAAAGTAATATTTTATATTTGTTATTAATAAAAAATTTTTACATATTTGTTTTTATAATTTTTATTTTTGCTTTTTGTTTTAATTTTGTACCAAAATAAATAAAATTCATTAAGCATAGTTGTCTATTAACATAGATTTGTATCAGGCACCATTACTTTAAAATATCTATTTAAGATAGAATATCACCCTCCCCATACAGTTTCTTATTAAATCATAAATAATTATTGCAGTTATGTATATATATATATATATATATTTCCCTTATGATTGCAACCAATTGATCCCAATTCATTCATTAAAGGCTTATTTGTTTTTCATAAATGCTAAATCAATTAATCAATAACAATATAGTTCCCACTGTAACTTAGGTGCACTGCAAACTGGGATTTTCCCTCAGACTATGAAGTTGAGAATAAAGACAACCAGCACAGGAAAAAAAAAGATGATAAATAACAACAAATAAAAGCGAGTAATGTCAAGACATTTTCATGTGTCCTTTTCAAAACAGCAAAGAAATCAATTTTCCAAACTGACAATTCATATGAATCACCATCAACATATCCGGTTCAACATTTTACATTCAGGCATGAATAATTCCATAATCTTTATATATATATATATATATATATATATATATCAAATAAAATGAAATGTCTTATTTTCTTAATACAGAAATCAAATGAATTCAGCAAGAGTAGTGTCTGAGATTTGTTTCAAATGAAAATTATACAAACAGAAAAATAGTTAAAATTTCTAAAACAAAAATTATGTATTAAATTTTTTTAAACAAATTTTAATGTGTCGCAAAAAAAGTGTATCTGGATTTTATATAAAGTTCGTCTATTTAATTTATTATAAATATACAAGAATTTGTTAGAAAATTAATTTTAATTAGATTTAATATTTTTAAAGCTTCACGCAGTTATTGCGTATGTTAGCTTTTATGTTTCCTGTAATTTCATCTTTGCAATAAAAACAAAAACATGAGAAGTATAATTAAAAGTGAATAAAAAAAATGAAAATCTTATAAAATTAAACTATGATGTTTTCTTTTTTCATTACAATAATAAAAGTTTCGTTGCATGCACCTGTATTTGTTATGTCAAGTCCTGAAAAATATTTAAAATATCTAGAAAAAAACATGAACAAGGAAGAGTTTCTTAAGAAAAGCACAATAAAATAAACAAAAAAAAAACAATTAGTCAGTTAACCCTTTCTCTCTTATAGAATACATCACCTCCCAACATTAACTCAGTGGTTACCACAGCAACGTGAAACTATCTCCTGAAAGCACAGGTAGAACAAAAGATATGTTTTGTTTTTTGTTTTTCTTTTTACCTGTGACCCAGCAGTAAGGGAGGAAGTTATTTATAGATCAAGAAGCCTGCTCAGAATGAAGTATCAGTGGTTTCCCTCCATTACCCCTGAAATCATCTATAAGGCTAAAACCTAAGCAATATCCCCTAAACAATGCCACTACCTCCATACTAACTTCTTTGCTCTTTGTCTCTTTCTCAATCCCAGTCAACTAAGCACTGCCTGGGTGGGTCAACTATCTAAAATATAAGGCATCAGGGCCCATCTCCTCTGCCTGTCCTTCTCTAATAGGGTAAACAAAGGCAGGCTCCCTGTACAGATAGCTTTGTATCTATTATCATTTATTTAAATGACTCTCAATGTCCACCTAACATCATCAGCAGGCCTGATTGGACACTGTTATCGAGCTTGTCGACCAGTCAGTAGCTGGGCTTGCCTATAAATTTACCTCCCCTTCTGAAGAGCAGTGCTTAGCTCACGCTGTTTGTGGCTTGTTCACTCATTATTCTTGTACAGTGTGTTGTGAGTAACCGTGTGTATTGGTGTTCGTGCGTATCTTGTTGTTTAGTAGTCGTCAACAGTAGGGCTTACGTGTTGTCAATTACCATGGTAGCTGGCGGTAAGTACAAGACGGACATTGTGCCGTTCTACCCTTGACCATTCTCAAAGATATATTTATTCTAAAAATTGTAGGTAAACGAAAAATGTCTTGTCTCCATCACTTGGAGCCTTTTCTTTGTTCTTCACCACAGCCAGCCTCAGCAGTTGCGGCTGTGTTTCTAGCCGTGTGGTGATTTTACTTGTCTTGGATGAAGAACAAAAGTCCTTGTTCATCATACTCTCCTCCTTGCTCTCCTTTCACACACACACACACACACACACCCATCTCTTTTTTGCCTTTCTTTGGAATGAGAGTTGTGGATACCTATTCTCTCAGGCCTTTTATACCGGCATATTGTTTAACATTCATACATCCATACAGAGAGACCTACTACCACTACTAAAAATGGAAAGACAGAAAGGCAAGCAAAAGAAAAAAGGATTTGCCATTAAAGAGAAAACCTACTACAAATTTATTATGTGGCCGGCAAATTTCTGCTGACTTTTTGTCCATGTTCCTCAACACCTACATACAATCTGTTTCTATTAGTGAATTTTGTAGACCATCAAAATTACCCACATATTTTTCATCTCCAGAAAATGGAGAAAGTAGCAACACAAAAAAACAAATGAGATTAAGGGAAAAAAAATTATCTTTTATAAGATCTCAAAAATAAATAAATAAATAAATAATCCTTATAGCAATATTTTTTTATTTGTTCACTTTTTACTTAACAATAATTTTTTTTCGAAAGTTTTCTTAACTTTTGGAATTTTACAAGATTTATATTTAGGTTTGAAAGAAAATAAAAAAAATGTCAAGCTGTGAAAGTAGTTATCTAATTGGATTTTTCAACTCCATATAGATGCACAAACTTATATGAAAAGTAAAAAAACTCTTTTTCCATGTTCCTTCGTCTCTTTTTGTTTTTATATATATATATATATATATATATATATATATATATATATATATATAGATATATATATATATAGTCATTGGTGTTTGCTTTGATTGATGGCTGCTTGGCTGAAAAGCTTTTGCTAGCCAGCCCAGTTCTAAGACTTCATTTAAAGCAGTTTTTCTATTTGTCTCCTTTCAGTTGCCTTTGTTTGTGACATTTGTGTAAATTGATGTGAATAAAGCATGCATAAGATAAACAATAGCTTAGTGTATAACTTGGTGTTTGTATTTATTGAAACTCTTAAAATTACTTAAATTTCCCATTTATTTCCTGTTGTTGTGGCTCCTAATATGCATTTCTATTTGTCGATATACACATCTCTGTGCACATATATAAATACACACACACACATATATATATTAACACATTCATCAGATTTAATAAATATTCTTTAAAAAAAACAATCTCGCTTAACTTTTTTATATATCAGATTTTTTCAAAATTATTTGTTCTCATTTTTTTTATTTTGTTTTTAATCTTTCTTCATCCTTCCTCTCATCTTTCTTCTCAAATCAAAACTTACTTCTCCAGACATCCAACTTCCATTGATGTTCTTTACATTTTGTATTTATAACTGATGACGTATATAGAAATCTTTCCATATGTGGCAGCTTTTTTTCTTTCATCTTATTTCTAGAATATACAAAACGAAGCTTTATTTAGAAATGTGTTTTATTTACTTTGAAATCTATAAATTGCTTCCAATGATAGACATTTTTTAACTGATATTTTTATTAATCATTTATTTTTCTGTCTTTTCTATAGTGTTTTCATTGTGTTTGGTTGTTAATAATTCTTGAGTAAAAACCATCTTGTTTAGTTCATATCCATGAAACAGAGTTCTTTCTTTTGTCAATTACAATGCTAACCTCAGCATAGCTAATTTTGCTTGCTTCACTCAAATACAGTTTAAATCTATCTGAAAAGTGTAACATCTCTGTTTAAGTGTGTGTGTGTGCATATTGCTAAAATATATAAAATTATTGAAAACATCAAGATATAATGAAATAAAAAAATAACAATTTCCACTCATTCTAGTATTATAGACAACATAATTTTCAACAAGAAAACAGTAAATTTGTAGAAAATGCCACATTGCTGTTATTTGCCTTATCCCCATCATTATCATTGAGAGCTGCCTACCTAGTCACATGACCAGTGTTCATATTAAAATATCCAGAGAAATAACATTCTTTCTACTGATCTATTCTCTTTTCCTCCATTTTCACTTTTCAGTTTTTATCAAATAAGTAAAAATTCATTTATTTCCAATTCAATCTCATTCGTATATCTACCATTTAAAAATTCTCTTTCACTTTCTCTTTCCCAATCACTTTCACTTTCTCTTTTCCTATCACATTCAATCTTATTCTTTCCTCTTGTATTAATTTATCTCTTCAGCTGTCTTGCTGGATTTTTCTTTTCCATAATCTCTGTGAAAAGACATTGCTGTTCCAATATCTTAACAGGAATTACCAGTTTCATCCATTCACTGACATCATCAGAATCAGCATGACTAATAGAAATTGCTTCATCTTAGTTAGCATCCTTCGTCATACCCACTACTCAGCCTAGCAGCAGGCTGCATGAGCCACTTTGAATCTCTATCCCCCCTCCCAGACACCCACCCACCCACACACACACACACGCACACTGATATACTTCTTTGTCTTTGGCCTTTTTTCCTTTCTCTCACAATTACTCCCTCTGTGCTTTAAATCCTTTCTCTTCTCTTCCTCTTTACATCTTTCCCCTCTCCCTTTCTGTACTTTCTGTGCCATTATGATTCTCTCTTCATTTCCCTGCCTCACTTTCTTTTTGATGTTTGTTACTCCTTCCATTCAGCTTTTCTCTCTTTCAAATTGACCCCACCATTACTTTTCCTTTGTGTGTGTGTGTGTATCTCCTTCCTCCCCATACTCTTTCTAATCCACCCACCGACCCAGTGCAATTGTAGCTAAATGACGTCAGTGCAGATGTGCATATGATTAGCAACTACAACTGATGAAGCCGACCGATCAATAATTGGATGCCCTCTCACATACTACACCCAACATCACAACAATGTCAGCTTCACACGCACACACACACACACACACACACACAATTTATTTTCTCTCTCTCTCTCTCTCTCTCTCACATGGCTTCTTCTTTAATTTCCTTCTTTCTCCCTCAAAACTCTCTACTGTCTTCTTCCCTCTCCTTTTCCTTTGATTTTCATCTCCTTTATTTTTCCTTCTCTCATTTTATCATCTGCAACTTCATCAAATTTTTATTAAAGTTTTTTCGATTCTCTTCCTCCTCTTCTTTGCATTTTATTTTACTTCATTTTTTTATCAAGTTTTAAAATAGGCAGACAGATATACAATGGTGAGATACATAGTTATGAATAATAAGAAAATGTAGGTCGATAGATAGAATTTTTTTTTTCTTTTTATCCATTCTGCTAACCTTTCTTCCTTAAAGGATTTCTTCAAACCAACTTCATGAAGAAAACATTACCACTAAACTTTTGTTTACTTTGTTTGTCTGATTGGTCCTGGGGAAAAACAAAGATAAACCTCTCTAAGCTTTCTGTTAAATTTTCATTCTTTCATGGTGAATTAGATTTTTAACATTATTTGCAAAATTCTGATGAATTTTATGGAAATTCATATACATTTTTTCTTACTTTTTGTCATTAATATTTTATTCAGCTTCTGTTTTGTAAATGTTATTGCATACATATATATATATATATATATATATATATATATATATATATATATATATATATATATATATATATATAAAAACATGCACATATATATGAATGCAAAAGTATTTTTACTTCTATTTAACCACTTTTTCAAATTCCTTGCACAGTCACTCAATTAAAATCAATTAGAAGAGGCAAATGTACTTTAATTTGTCTAAATATTCCTTTTTTATTTTTTTATAGAACACAAAGCTTCTTGAATGAAGTAAAGTTAATTTATTATTGAAACAGTTTCATTTTTTAATAAAAATCAAGAGTAATAATAAAATAGTTTTTCAGCAGCTTTTATGCAAAACCTATGCAAAGTTACCAACTCTTGATTCCTTTGTAGAATACTAATGTTCAGACTGTAAAATGGATATTGATCACCAGCTTCAAGCAGTTTCACTGGACACTCAAAAATTTGGGACTAACTTCATTATTTTCATTTATACATCACATTGTGACTTTTCATCATAAAATCTTTTATTAAATTGCAATCTTTTTGTGGATATTATTCAACTGATAAAACAAGGAACCATTCTTTGACAATATTTTTCTTTTTTTTTTACTTCTATTCTCACTAGTTGTGCTCTAAATGCAAAACTAAATATTTTGTTTGCAACTGCATTTCATCAAACCTGATGACTTTGCAGTTTTTAAAGAGACTTTTTTCCTTAAACACTTTGTTGATGACCAAAAATGCCTCTATAGTTGCTTTTACTGAAACAGAAATACTGCCTGCTCAGTAAAATTGCAATTGACTCAGCTGAGTTTACTGTCATCAATGTTATGTTTAATTTTGTTATACTCCACAATTTAACTCTTTTAAAATTTCCTGCACTTATAAAATAATATATATATATATATATATATCTACAGATCAAGTCAATAAGTTTTCAAGATACAAATCAAGTGAAAATTTTTATAAAAAATAATAACTTTAAATCCTGATTCAGTTGTAAGTTGCTTGCAAACATCAAATTTGAATAGAACTGATCTTTTGTTGACAAAATGTGCATTCTTCTTTTAATTCTGTAGTAAAAATGTTTACTTGCAATAATTATTATATCCAGTCAGTTCAAGGTTTGTATTTGAACACATGTTTATTAAAATAACACAGCAAAAGAAAACAGTTGGAAAAAGAAAAGAATCCTGAAAGAAAATATAAACATTAAATTGTTTTCTTTCAAACTTCAAGACAAATTTTAGTCAGCAAAATTAAAAATATCTTTCAATGTAGACAAATGTAAAAGGCACTCTCTTTTCATTGATTCAACAATCTATTCACAAACTCCATGATATCACTTCTCTTTT